ACCACGAGCTTCTCCAAAGCTGTGTGTAATTACAAGATGTGATGTTCTTTCAGTGTCTCCTGTGGTCCTCAAGATCTGCATGTTTCTGGTGCTGGATGTGCAGCAACATGAAAATCCCAACGAGACCAATCTGCTCGCACAAGAACAAGTTTTGCACAGCTCTATTCTTCATTCTGGTCCCCAAAGAACAAAGGACAACAAATGCTATACATCAATTTGGCAATAAAATTTCATTTATTAGTTATGTTTGACAGTTAAGAATAATGTGTCATTTTAACCTTCTTGGCTACTCACTGGCTATGGAAATATTTTGAAAAAAGGTTTTTATGGTGACTGTGAGCTCAGGGAAWCCTCTGTGTACCCACAATTTCTACTGAAAACAGGGATGTTTTAATGTGCAAGATGAGACCTTCCACAAAAAAAATATGTTCATGTGGGTCAACAAACAGAAAAACAAAACACAGTGAAAATTATTTAAAAGCACCATCTGCTTATYCAAATGCAGCTGGGGAGAGAAACAATGCTGTCCAAAAAACCCTCATTTTCATTATATTTCTTTCAAAAGAGATGTTAAACGAAATACCATTGGTCCTAAATGTTTTCCTCCTGAGGAGAAATGTTTGAGCTACATTTGAAATAATGATTGTGGAAGCAGTTCTCCTCAGAGGATGATCTTGGAGAGCAAAGCAAAATGGATACAGGAGATGGGGAGAAAACAGATAAAAAGAAAGTGCCCACATTCTCAGGAAGCAAAAGCCTAAACAACATTAACTGCTTGAGTTGACTAAATCATTAATTTCATGAACTAAATTATTCAGAGTCAAATTCATGTTAGGCACAAAGATATCYAGGATCRAATCAAGAGATYCAAACCCTGCACAATACATGAATGKAGATTTCTTCTTTTTTAAAGTTATTTAGGACTGTGATTGGGTTCACTTAACCCTCCTCAATTACCCMACCCTGGCCATGTGGTCCTGTGCAACTTGGTGGGACATCAGATTGTGGCACAGAAATGGGATTTAGCCAGTAAAATAAAGATCTCTCCAAAGACTACTGTACCTCTTGATTTCCCAAAGCTGATGTGCTTGAGGCTTAGGGGTTGTAATTTCCCACTGCCTGACAGGCAAAGTCTAAATGTGGTTGGTTTTGTTTTGTTTTTCTTTTTTTTTTTTTTTTTTTGGGTAGGCAGGGGCAATGTAAAGACAAAGTAAAATGTCACTGACTATTACAAACAAAAAGATCACAAAATCGCAGAATCACAGAATGGATGAGGCACCACAGTGGGGTTGTCTGTCCAACATCCCTGCTCAAGCAGGGCCAGCTCAGAGAACATGGCACAAGATTCTACTCAGACTGTTCTTAAATATCTCCAGCGAGATCATGGTGTTGTCCATAACTTCATYTCAGAAATACATTTCCTACCATCCTTCTTGAACATCAAAGAGCAGGAACAGCCCAAAACACGCATGTTTTTTCAACAAAGTTCCCTACATTTTGTTCTGGTGGATGCAGTGAGATCCCTCAAGTGCAAGATGACAATTCACAACCAGAGATATTCAGTGTGAGAATATTCTTTGACATTTTCCCCCCTAGAAATGGACACAAGTCCACAAAGTTCATTCATCTGTGCTCAGTGAACCACAACAGGAATTAAACAAACACTGACCTCGACCTGCTCCTCGAAAACTGTCAAYATTTCTGACTTGGACAGCTGAGTCTTGTGTTGCCATCGCTGTTTGCAAACAGAGGTCCCAACCTCAAAGCACCAGCCCCCAGCAGGAACTTTTTGTCCCCTTTTTGCACTGTTAACTCAAACACAATCCCTGCTGTACCACAACCAAAATCTATCCTGATAAAATTAGCCCAATCCAATTAAAGGACAAAGTAGAGCCCTTAATTAAATGTTCTGATTATTCTGAAGCCCTCTCTCTTTTTTTTTTTTTTTTTGGTTCATCTTGAGTTTAGGTCTGTAAAAGCATACGAATTAGAAAGAATTAACATGTTCTTGTTTTACCCATTTATCGCTTAAATGTAAGTAACAAGAGTTCCCCAAAAGCATAA